TTTTCCTTCCTTCCCTTCCTTTCCTTTCCCTTCTTTCCCTACTTTCCCTTCTTTCCCTTCTTTCCCTTCTTTCCCTTCTTTCCCTTCCCTTCTTTCCCTTCCTTCCCTTCCCTTCTTTCCCTTCCTTCCCTTCCTTCCCTTCATATTCCCTCTTTCCTTTTCCATATTTTGTGCAGGCATGCTGCTCAGTCATGAGGACACTGAACGCCATGCCAAGGGTAAGAAATACCTGGCAGGGATTGGTTTTGAGCCTAGCAGCTTCTCCTTCTGTAACCTGGAGAGCACATCTTCACCTGCAGAGCACCTCAGGCAGTGACAGCTCTTGTACTGAGCAAGTCAAACTTCGAAAATTCCCTCAAATGTACTTGAAAAAGGTGGGTAAGAAGTGGAATTTATAAGGAAAATGATCTGAGAACTGACTTGGTGTGAGTGAATTGATATTACAAGCCTGACTGAATGTGATTAGAATTGAGAAAACAGCCAGGCTAGAATTTCGGGGTGGAGAGGTGACCTGGTTTGCATTAGAACCCAAAGACCCTCATGGAAATTAACAGCTGTGTTTGCCCAGTGTCAGAAATACACCATGTAAACTCTGCTTTGGATGGTCGAACCCTCAGAACTGGGGTTTTCTGATTCCAGCAACAAGATTTGGACCAAAGAGGTCTGGCTGGTACAAAGCTAACGGGACTGTGATAAATGAGAAACCATCTGTGTGCTGTATTCAAGCTTTCAGCAAGAGAATTCTCCTCTGACCAAAACAGGCTTCCTGAGAAGAAACTTGTTTATTTGTAAATGGGTTCTAGCTTCAGTCACTGGAGCATATGTGTGTGTGTGTGTGCATGTTTTGTTTCCCTCGAAGGGTTCTCCATCTGTACAGGCAAGGATTTGCCAGCCCATGTGTTTCTTTGTTCAACAGTAAGCCAACAGCAGCAGTTCTCACCTCCAGTATGCCCTGAAGAGGAGGCTGGTGCAGTCAGGTGTGATGGATCAGTGGGGTTTGCAGCTCTTGGGATCCCCCAAACTGTTGGGGTTCAGAGGGATGGCTTTGGGTAACTCAGGCCAGCTTTAAGCTTCACCCAGGTTGCAGGGATATACAAACCATGGTGTATCTAGGCCAGCAGCTTGCTGCTGAGAGCTGTTCTGTTTAACCCCAACAATGTTGAGCCCTGCTCTTCCCCTGGGACAACAACTTCCAAGAGGACTTGTACACGGCATGTCCCATTTGCTGCTTCATGCTTTAATTGCATGTCCTGCTGAACAGCAGCACTTTCCCCAATGTAAGCATCCCCTGAGCTGTGTCAGTATGCACAGATGCTAGTAACTAGCCAGATTTTGGCTTGACCTTGCTAAGAGTGCCTTCTGGAACAAGAGGTTTTTTTTTTTCTTAGACACATAAATCCTTTTCAAAGTCAGCTGAGCAAAATGTGGTCATCAGCATAGTTTTATAATGTCTAAGCAATGTTTTTCCAAAAGATAAAAAAGTTTGCAGGATAAAGAAGAGACACGTGCTTAAGTTGTTGCTTCATCTCTTTGCATGTCATTTATCCATAAGATTGGCTGCTGCCCAAAGGACCTTTCAAGGAGCAAAATGAAGAATGTGTCTATTTTGGCATCAGTTGCCCCAAGAGAAGTGTGTGTATTCTCCTTGTGGTTTCCTACAAAGCATCTGGGCTGGGAGTCACGTTGCTTAACTGTGTCGGGGTGGGAAGAGTGAAGGGTCTCCCCTCTATGGCTTGCTTCTTGGCTTTGGGTACAAACCCCACAAGAGAAGGATGTCACCTTGTTCTTCCACCATCCGGTTCCATGGGGCTGCCCTTGCTCCAGGACTGCTGAGCATTTCTCAACAAAACTCAAAGCGTTCCTCCATAAGCAAAACCTGCTGTGATGCCCTCTATCATACAATGAGCCAAATGGGACTGGCAAGGTCAACAGCTGCTGGATGTTCAAATGAGTCTGCGAGTTGCTCCCTTCGTGTGAGGTCTTCTAATTTACGCCTCCTTTCTCCAGGAAAACCAAGTGGGGCAACCCCACCTGGCCTCCTCGTTCCTCTGCTCCATCACCAGCAGTTAAGCCTTTACAACAAGGCTAATGTTTCTCTTGCAGGCACTAAATTTAGCAATTGTTTACCAAGAGGTTCTTAAAATTAGAAGGCTCTGATGCACCTGAGTACTTGAGGAAGAGAGGGGACCCATCAGTGAGGGCCATGACCTCTCACTCTGCTCTGCCTTCTCTAAACCCAGCGGCCTCCTCATCATGGTCACTGAATCAAAGAATGGCTTGGGTTGGAAGAGACCTCAACGATCATGTAGTTCTGATTCCCCTTTTCCACAGGCAACTCAACAGTGGGATGAAGGCTGGGTAGGAAGCAGAGATGGGAGCAATGATGATGCCCAATTTCCTAGGAAAACTCGGTGATGTTATTGGGGAACTTGGACGTCTGTCCCCAGCTGCATATTTCTTGGCTGAACCTCGAACATGGCAGCAAGAAATGCTGCCATGGCAGTAGGTTTTGGATAGGGGGTAGTTGGAAAAGCTGAAACGAGTTTTCAATGCTTCTGCTGCACCAGAAGGGTGGTGGTATTGTGGGCCAACTCCTGGCTTGGGGCTCAAACATGCCTTCTTCTACAAGCCCTCATGCATCTGTGGTGAGTGGAGAATGCGTTTGGTGCCACAGGGGCACAAAGTTGCACACAACTGTGCCGTCATGCAATGAAGGCACCATCTGGGTTGCAGCTTCTCTAGTTCATGTAATGCTTGCAGCACAATTTTTTTGGCACGGAGCTGTGCGTGTTTGCACTGTTGAACTCTTTTCCCCACTGTGTCTGCTTGCATAGTGGGTATCATCCAGGATGTGCAAGGGATGTTACTTATAAAACACAGCAAATGATGAGGGGAGTTGAGTGGAGGGAATCTGGGTGTCCACAGCAGGTTTAGAAGGCACCCTGGTGTTACTACATGAAGGACCTGAAAAAAACAGGCAAATGCAGCACACCAGAAGCACGTGCAATGAGTGGATGCTGAAACTGCAAGCGGTGAAGTGATGGAAAGTGATGGAAAGACACAAGAAGTGTCCTTGGATCTGCAGTTTGCAGGTTGGATGTTTTTCCCTTCCTCTGTCTGTCCTTGGGGTGACACCACCGGTTTCTCCTTGGTGTTGCAATGACTTTCAGCCGCACGGTGTCACAAACCGAGGAAAGATGAGTTTGTGCTGCCATCTCGTGGCTAAAAAAAGACTTCTCAAGGCCTATAAAAGCCTTTATATACATAAACATAGATGTGTCGTTCATCAGTGGGTTCTGTTTCTTGTCAGTGAGGATGAAGGACCCAAAAACAGACGGTCCATAAACAGGTGATAGAATCATAGAACCATTAAGGTTGGAAAAGAGTTTCTAAGTCCAACCCCAACCCGTCCCACCATGCCCATAATCACATCCCTCAGGGCCACATCTCCATGGCTATGGAACATCTCCAGGAATGGTGACCCCACCACTCCCTGGGCAGCCTATTTCTATCCTGGGGTATCTGGGGACAGAGCTGGAAAGTGAATAGAAGATGCTGGATGATTTCCAGTCTCTCAGAGCCCATATCTGTGAGATTTTTGGCTCTTTGGAGACCTAGTGCCAGTTTCTTAGTGTCCCGGGCAACAGTAAATCCTCATCTGCTTGACCCACAAATCCCAAGGTTGGCATCACTGCATGGCTGGCATGAGCCCTTATAGAGATAATAGCAATAGACCCATAGCAAAGGAGGGCCCAATGGTGACGTGCTGAATTTGTTGGATTTCCCTGAGTTTATGGGAACATGTGAGAGTTGGGTGATCCCTATGGGTCCATCGCCTCTCTGGATATTCTATGATTCTATGGTTTTCTCATGGGTAGAATGGGTGACTTCCAGAGGGCAATGTGCAAAGCATTTGGAAACGAGCATTGCCAAATGGTAAAGCAACAGCACAGGGAGTGCTTCAGAGGCTGGAAGAATTGGTTTATGGGGGTAGAGATGGCAGAATAAATAAATTGGCAAAACAAAGCATGCGTTGTTTGGCTGGGCAGCAGTGAGGGCTGAGCTGGTGTGTGTCCAGAGAGGGCTTTGCAGGTGCCCAGGGTGAGGATGAGGGAGATTTGGGGCTTTTGTGAGTGTTGTGGGTGGCAGAGCTGGGAGAGCAAGCACAGAACTGTCAGCACGGGAACGTACCAATGTTTTCTGCAGTGCTGTGCCGAAAGCCACCAGCTGAGGGCCATAAATCTCCAGGAAAACCTCGGTTTGGGG